TATATGGCTATACATATATATCTTCATATATATGGTATGTGAGTTTTACTTTATGACAAAATGTAGATATAAGTTCTCTGATTGGTTAAAATACAGCTTGCAAAATCTTTAGACAGAAGTTTATGCCCACATTTGAACTGGAGACCTTAGGCACTTCTCTTAAATTTCTGATCTTCCATTTTACCATCTGTAAACTGAGAATTATTGTGCCTGAGCTTTATAAAATATCAAAAGAAACCTTAGATATGAATGGATATTCTATCTTTTAAATCACAGTGCAGATTTCTGGCATTACTGAGTGTGTGTGTGGTTGGAGGGGGGCATGTGGGAGGGAGGATTTTTTGTAAATAAAGCAGATTTAAAAACAGGGAAAGAAAATAATCAAGAGCCTATTATGAGGAGGTATTTATAAAAGAAGATCAAGAAACGTCAGGTAACGATCTAGAAAAACCTAACTTGGAACAATTAGAGGATGGGACAAACTGCAGCTTTTGGCACACCGATAGCCCAAGGGCATCACCACATGATAGCAGAACACAGAGATGAAAATCCTTGTGATTACCCAGGGCCATTAAGAAGCATGTCACTTGTGTCCACTGTCATTTCTCAAAAACTTGAGAAAATAATACAAACATTTTCATCCAAATCACTAATTTTTTAGAATTCTTTTGTCATTTACAGCTAAAATTGCTATCAAACACAAACTTATCAAAAGTTAAATTAATAATAGTAATTAATTTTCACTGAGTAATCTACTATACATCAAGTACAGTTCCAGAAAACTACTCAGATATGGTTTTGTTACTAATGAGATTAAAGATTGAGTGGCATTTCTTTAGACCTAACAGTGAAGATAAAATTTGAGCCCTGATATAATCCATCCTACATTCTGAACTCCTTCTATTTTTATAATACCAAGCTTTCATTTCTTAAAAACTAGTAAGATATGTTGTAATATATATGTTTATTTGGGCACTCTCAAAGCCTAGAATTCTTATATACTAATTCATTTAAATGTATACAGTACTATTATCATACAACTCTTTTGATAGTAATCTGAAAGTTTCCATTTCTCAGGCTATTTTCTGGTGAGTTATAGATACACAGTTATTATTTTAAGTGGCCTACACTAGAAGTTTTCTCTGAGATATTTACAAATGCAGTGCAGCACTTTCACAAGATTCTGCTTATTTCTAGTGACTGATTATGATGATAAAGTGAGAGCTGGTGACAGCAAGGTAATAATATAATAGTAGTGACCAGGTTTTAGCAAATCTTTTAAGAGCCCATATTGAGAACGACATGTAGTGGAGATTAAAATTGAAGTAAAATAAAATTAAGACAAATTATATCAATGTTACAATAAAATAAATGTTATTGAAGAGCACCCAGGTTCAAATCCTAGCACTCATATGTTGGCTCACAACCATCCATAACTCCTGTTTCAGAGAAACCAATGCCCTCTCTTGATATCTGCAGGCACCAAACATGTATATGATACATAGACATACATAAAGAAAAACACTAATATACATAAATAAATCTTTAAAAAATAACAATGCCATTACTATTTGTAACAATTATTAGATGTTCTTGTCAGCCACTCTAGTGAACATTTTTATAGATATTGACACTTAATTCTCATAATAATTTCAGGAAGTAGAGTCAATTGCCATCCTTATTTCCTAAAGAAGAGTTCAAATCTCCTACTGAGTAAGTGGCAGGGCTGAGATGTAAACCTAGCACTGATCACCACTCATTTGATTTCTCATTTGTGCTATTCTGTGAAGTTTTCCACATTTACATCCTAATGTATGTTAGGAATGGCACAGCAGTTCAATATACACACAATATTTACTAGTAAGAAAGGAGCTTCATAACTTCACTTTTCAAACAAACCAAAGATCAGGAAATTTTTTTAAAATCTTGTCTGGATTTATGGTTTCTTTGGGCATCCCTGCTTTCAACTATATCCCCAACCAGTTTGACTGATCAATGTCTTACCCAAGGATGGAATCTAGTTTACAACCTCCGCAGTTTCTCTCCCTGAAAAGTAAAGAATCTTTGGCTTTGTCCCATGACCATATCTCCCAATTTGAGGAAACTACAGCCAGGCAATTTGTTGAACATTAAATAGTATCTTTCAACACTCAGTGTTGTCTATAAATCATTTCACTCCTTCTATAGCTCTCAACTTTTGACAGCATTTTACTGTAAACAAATTTGGAGGCTATTCTGTGATTATTCCCACTTGGAACATATACTGTTTCCTCTCCATGAAACTAGAACAGAAGGTCTAATAGAAAGGAAATTATTAAGCATTCTACTGAGTTTTTTCCTCCAACAAAAACTAAGATAGAGGTCAATGAATAAGTATGTGCAGACTGGAACTTGAATCCTCTAGGGTGACTGTAGGCTAATTAATAATTAATGCCAGAGCCATGGTGTTTGAAATGCAGATGTGATAACTGGAGGCCTGGCAGAGCTGTTCAGAGGAAGCAGATTTAGATGCTATAGGGAATAGGCACTCCCTTGCCGGCTGGCTCAGAGAGCCAGCCTGGGTGCAAAGCAGGGCCTATGGTTTAGATTATATTCCCCTCAGCTGTTAATTACCTGAACCTACTTTGAAGTTCTTCTCTTTTTATCCTCTGCATGAAAAGAGATTGGTTCAGCCAAGGGACTTGGAGAAATGATCAAATACATGGGGTGGAGGGAAGGGGAGGTGGGAATAGAACTTCAGATATAAGAAGATAACGAAGAAAAACACATAGTAGAACATACAAGAACATACATTATTAGGAAATGTCGAATTGTGGTTCATTGTTTCAAGCACATTGTTTCTCTCAGTTATTCTAGTGAAGCTGACGTTTTAGTAAATGTGCAAAGTCTCTCTGAATAGATAAACAAAGAATTTCCATTTGTATTATTATATAAAGATTGGACATGAGATTATCACAGATGCTTTATAATGCTGTTTTTATTTCAATAAAGTCACTCGACCTGCACATATTTAAAATCAGATAGTGATAATGGTAAAATTAATGGATTCTGCCACAAATTACTTGTTTGTGCTCAAATAATTCATTCTAAAAACCTAAGTTGTAAGTGTCATTGCTTGATAGGTAAAGTTATATGTTAAGAAATTGTTAAAAATTAGATGCAGTTGGAGAGAATCTGAAAATAACTTCAGTTCAAAGCATTGTGATTTATTTTCAGAATGGATGTGTATATATGAAATATAAAGAAACATAGCCATTAACTGTTTTTGCAAGTCAACTCTGGCAACTTAGGTTGAATGTAAATGCCAAGGTTTCCTGACAGAATGAAGATGGGGTTGGTTTATTTTTTGGATATCAAAAAAAACAAAAAAACAAAAAAACATTTTCTTTTACTGGAGGTAAAGCTTTTTCCTGAAATACATTCTATTCACAGTGAGTAGTATTCTCTTTTGGTATAAACAGATGAAACTTGTGTTTATATCTTTTACCGCACACTGATATTGATTTTAAAAAATGTATATCTGTGCATTGACACTGACACCTGTGGATGCAGTGTTATCTAATAAGTTGACATCAAATTGATACAAGCAAATGCCTATCTATGAAATCATCTGGATTTGAAGTTCTAATTTATTGTCCACTTCAAATTTAAAAGTATGCATTGTGGAGCAGAGACCTTAAAATTTAAAGTGAACATGGAAATCATAAACTTATTTATTTCAATCTAATGCTCAAAAGTCCTAATTTCTAAATCCTAAGTCCAAAAGTCCTAAAAATGAAAAAAAAAACATACAAATGTGATGTTTACTTTCATGACAATTTTTCATCAAGTAACTGTAAGTGCAGTATTATAATGCCAAAGTCCCGGGTACTAGTGAGAAAGTAACATTTTCTCCAGGCTTCACATGTAAAGTCTGGGTGTTTAGTTCTGTTATTAAGAAAGGGAGTGGAAAAACAAAGTGTTTCAAGACTATGTGCAGCAAGCCAGAAGCACTATTTGAAAAATCAACCACTTGGATAAGCCCGTAAGATGTTCATGGCTACAGCTCTTTCCTTTGTGGGTAATCACAGTCTTTCATATTTGTGGATAGTATTCAATTTTAAAACACAGACACAGAACATAACATATTTTCAAAAATAGAATAATACTGTTCAAAGTTGAGGTTCACATTTTTGAGTTACTGTTGCCCAAATCAAATAAAAGTACATTTTACAGTGATCATATTAGTTTTGTTTTTATGATGCTAACAAATATATTTGCATATATATTTAATTTTAAAGCACCTCATCACTTGGCCAATCTGAGTTAAGAAGAATGGTATGTGAAAACAATCTTCTGATGAATGTCTAGGCATAAAAAGTTTCAGTTTAATGAAATGTGAGAATAGAGTTATAAATAGAAAACTACAATGATGCTACCTTAAGAATTTGATTAAACTTTCTACTTTATTTGAGCATTTCTCTTTTATACCCCACTACTCTCATTCTCTCATAACTGCGGCTTCTGCTAAAAATTAGATATCTTGTAAAAAAAACATTTCATTTTTATGGTATATTTCTTAAAGTATTAATGTGATGTGGTGATACAATCATGACATTAAAATATTTTTAAATTGATGGAAAAGAAACAAACTCTCCACATAGCAACCTGTATTTAAACCACAGAACCTGAAGGTCATAATTTATGTGTTTTAACATCTGTTTGGAAAAACTAAAGCTTTATACTCAGGCAACTCTATGTGAATTATATTTTTAGCAATGTATGTTTTCCACAGTTTATTTTCAGTTGTGCACATAATGTAAAAATATTTTTGAGTAGCAATTCCTACATTCCTAAATAATAGCCAGCTTTTATGGCATTCTAAAATGTAGGTAGATTATCTAGTCTGTTTTGGGTCTTTTTTACCTCCAGCTAAAAGGAGCCTGAAATGAAGTTCTCAGCTCCTTCTTAGTAAAACTGCTAGAAAAGTAAATAGATCTTAGCAAAAATATTATTTCTACCTCCAGTATGAGTGATGGATGTTGCAAGAACTATGTACTGCAAAGCAGAAGATTTCTTTACCCTGCAAAAGGAAAAGTAAAACATTGAAAGAGGATTTTAATGAAATCATAACATTAAAATAGTTTGTTAAGTCCCACTAATTTTCTAGGTGAAGGTTCTGAAGTGAATGTGAGGAAACATTAAAAAGGAATTGAATTTGCATTCCTTATGCTACAGGCACATGTTTACATGACCTTTAAAACAGAATTAAAGCCGTATCATCAGCAGCTGGAGGCAATTCACATTACCAAGGCAATCCAATCAGAATGCTAAACTAACTATAAAACATAAATTAAACTGATACAGAATCATCTTAATTCACTAGGTTTACTTGCAATGTACTTATATAATACTACTCATTTCAAAGCAGTTTGCAGATCTGCCAAATGAGAAATAATCTAACATATCTGAAAACAGTGTCCAACTGTGAGAATGAAAACTAGAAACACTTCAATGTACATTTCTCAAGAAACTTTCATCATCACTCAGAGTGCTCTTACTTAATGAACATTATTTACTTTCAACAATCACCTCCAAAAACAAGCATCACCCATAAAGACATAATGATCATTGCTATGCTGTAGACAAGACAGAGTTCATTTTCATGTCCAGGCGAACATTCAGAAGAGTTTGTAATGAATATTTAAAAGCTGATAAAATTTAACAGAACTTCTTTTTACACCAAATGTCATCATATTATTCCCCACCATTTTTCACACTTTCTAATAACGTCATACTTGTTTTATTTCATGAAATATATAAATGAACTTAATTTTAAATACAGTAGGATGAGTTACAGTTTTATATACAACTGTTATAAGATTTGCTTTAAAGACATGAAAGCAGAAAGCATATCTGTAGTGCAAGTTAGCATTTCACTAAATGTGTTTTACAAAAGCTTGCTTTCTTTCCACTTGTAGTAGTAAGATTTCAGGGAAAACTTCTCTTTTCCATAGTGTTTTTATTTGTTTCTTTTAATTCATTTTCATCCTATTGAGAAATTTTAGCATACTCCTTAATAATACTGAAAGCACAAAAGTATGTTTGAGAATGCAATTCTTCTATTCTGAGAGAGTGCATATAAAAGGTGGAGGCTCCAGTATTGCTATTCATTATGAATGTGTTAGCACAGGATACACTAGAAGCTAAAAGAAAACCAATCCCCTCCATTTGTAAGACTCAGTTCTTGTAATCAAAAATCCACAGTCAGAGTTGAGTTCATTACTCAGGGAAATTTACAAATAGGCTTGTTCTTCAGTGTGAAATGATTCAACTCTAATCTCTCTGTGTGTCTCTCTGTCTCTGTGTTTCTCTGTCTCTCTGTTTCTGTCTGTCTGTCTGTCTGTCTGTCTGTCTCTCTCTCTCTCTCTCTCTCTCTCTCTCTCTCTCTCTCACACACACACACACACACACAAACACACAGATGTTTGGAATCCATTTATTTGTGGGGGGCATAACTAATATTTACATTTAACACCTGGGGAAAGATTACATTAAAGGTAATGATGAAAACAGATGTGATTCAACTATAGCTTTACTTCAAATAGGATTTCCAATTGTTCTCTTTAACTAGAAGTACTAAGTATAGATGGGGAAAAGAAAAACGTTCATTCTCACTATCATTTGAGTGCATTAAAATTTGACCTTTGATATTTACATTATCCTGAACACTTTCCTTAATCATCTAAGGATCCCCACCCACCAGACTTAATTAAACACCAGAAATTTATCTTTTAGAGAAAGATATGAGGTTTAAATCCTGCTCTCTTCAATGTGAGAAAATTAACTTTATAGTGACTAAACAAAAAATTTTAGTATAGATATCACCACAATGCACACTTATAGGAGTATTGTTCTCCTGAGACAATCCCCATTGGCAGGAGGAGGGAAGAATGAAAAAGCAGAGCTGGAAAAAGCATCTTTCTGTGGCAAGTCTGGGCATTCCTTGGGGGAAAGGCAATACTTTAGATGCTTTACCTTAACATAGGACTAAAGAGGAATACGCTGAGTTTAAGTGTACTTAGGCCTGGGATCAGTTTGTACTGCAAGATGCCAGTGCTGCCCAGGGACAAAGATTCTCAGCAAGACTAATCTAAGGCACAAGGCTGTTCAAAAGGCCCTGGAACATCACAGTAGCTTTGATGTTACACTAGGTTCCTAACTCATTTTTCCATCATAAGGAAGAAGAAATCAGCCTAGCCTCTATATTATAGATTCTGCTCCAAACAGAAGACTAGAGACACAGAAGTTCGGTGGTCATGGTGGCTAGGGACTACCAAAATAAATCCTTTCTTATAGTTGTCTTATTTTTGCAATAGAACTCATTTGACTCAGAATTACCATCTGCAGAATTAAGACAAGATTTCTCAGTTGAATGTTCACAATCACCATAATCCTTTCTCACTGCTAACTCAAGCATCAGATTGAACCACCTCTGTTTGTATATGTTCAGGAGTTAAGGTCAGCCCAAGTCACTTTACTTCATCGGGGTAACAGCAAAGATCCCCAGGAAGTAATGGGTCCTGTTACTTCCCAAATCGTTCCCCTTACTTTGGGTCAGTTCTATAATTATTGTTACCTGTAACCCTCCTTATGTTGGTGTAAGTAGACTTGAAATTGCCAGAACACCAGAATATACAGCACACTAGCCTCAAAGTAATTCACCAAGTAAGAAAACCTAGTCAGGAGCTATGTTCTTCTACTAGCCAATTGAGCTCTTATATCTTGAAAAGAGGCTCTTAAAAGTTCTTAAATATAAAATGCACAGGCTGACATGTGCTCACATATGTGCATGTGCAAATGCATAATATGGGCCAATTTATGTAACCAGAAGAACTGGAAATCAAGTGTCAGATTAGATAAACCTCTTCTGAAGTAAAGGAGCCAAAAGGATTCCACAAATCCAGACCCAGAGGAAAGTGCTGTCAGTGCGAAGAAACATTACAGAAGATGGTGCTTTTAAGAACACCCAGGAAGACAGCATCCCTTCTCTAAGAACTAACACAATATTCACAGAAGTGGGAGCACTGATATTCTTGTTTTAAACAAGTTCCCAAGATGTCTTTACAAAGTGAAAATTTTTCCTCCAAACAATGCTTCTGTGTGAGAGATGTATATGTTTGTCTCATAGCTCTTAACAGTGTTCTGTTTCTACACTTTCTATGACAATAATTTAAAAATGTCTAAGTCAAAACATCTGGCTACATTTGATTCTTTGGTTTTCCCTACTATGTGACTCCAAAAATGGTAAGATTAACCCTGAATATTAATCAAATTATTTACTAAATATCCTCTCATAAAGAGTCATTGTTTCTCTGTATAACCAAATCTTCTTATATTCCTATACATGCTCAGGTGTAAGGATGCTAGCCATTTCAGATAAATAGTATTCACTAAGCATGGAGTATAAGGGCAGAGAAGATGGGATCTCTGAGTGAATTCATAGCATTTTCACAACTATGCATGTTAAAACCTTACACAGTCTATGAAGAAAAAAAATGAATTTCAATTGGAGAAGCTGCAGTAACCACTAAAGTTACTTATTTGAAAAGTAATACTGTTCAATTAGCTGAGTTGTATAGATGCTTCCAATATCAGTCCATAGAGTTCCTTTACATGCCCTCTGATTGATTGTACAGATAGAACTATTTTCTCATCTTTAAATACATCCACCATTTCTGACTTTAGAGAATAATTTAAATTGGAAAAAAACTATTGCTGCCATTTATGTATAAAATCATTCTGTGACTCCATATAAAACAAAAATAGAACAGTGATTCTGTTTGAGATCTGTATTTTGTAAAACTCTCAACTGGGTCTCACAAAGCTAGACTCAGTCAGCAGTGCAAAACAAGTGACTGCCAAGCAACCCCCTCACAATTATTCTTAGACACCTCAATTCCTGATGGGAGGGTGATAGCCATGCTGAGTACTACACAGTCTTGTCTCCTTAGAGTTCATTCCCCGGGACCCCATAAGATCAGGGTTCATGTATTGACAATAGCATGAGCAAGGGAAGAGGTGACCCCAGGGGAGAAACTGAGACTGGGTCAAGGAGATCTAGGAATGTAGCTGTGGAAACAAGCATCCTTTCCCTAAGCAGCCAGGGGCTCTATTGTCTCTTCTTATATTCTAACCATCCTGTCTGTGCCTCAGCCACACAATGCCACAGCATTTCCCCCATCAACATTAAATTTAGCTACCAAATGTCTAGTTCTCACAGATTATGGTATTCATACTAAAATTGCCATAAATAATATTGTAGTTTTGTACATTACCATGTTTCTGTTGCAGCTTCTACTATATGCTACTGATTCTTTACATTCAACAAAAGACAAGCGACCCTTAAAATGAACTTCATTGCATTTGAGACCTTGGTACTTACCAATGCTGTCTAAATTATTATATTTTAAATTATCCCTCAGAATATGGTGAGCTCCTTACCTTACCTTGCTATAGTTGTCTAAAAAGAAAGAATATAAAGACAGAAAGAAATATGGGAAAGGAAGAAAGGAGGAGAAAAAGACATGTAAAAGGAAAGAAAGAAAGGAGTGGGATATATAAGAGGAGCTACAGTGAACAGCACGCTGTTCTGAAGAGTAGCTGTGCCTCCCATCCCAAATGTCTTATGAGCACAATGTACAGATACTGGGGGAAAACACTTCTTTCTCTGCTGCTTTCAGAAGCTGTTCAATTGTTTCCACTTCTTTATGAGCTCCTGGCTTTCAAAAAGAAAATGTGCACTTGTCCCTAGCAAACCCAATCTAACTTGTCCTGTTTCCAAAGTGAACTTGTGTTGAAGGTGAAGTTTTCAGTCTAGAGGTCATGCCCGTGTGCCACATCCTACTGTCTGCAGCTTCATGCTATATTACACACAATGAAATCTGGCCTTTTATACTCCTTTCCCGACCCCCACCCCCAGCCTCTGCCAGCTTCAGCTCCTGACAGCCTTTCTCCTCCATTCCCCAATTTGTACACATAATGAGAATGCTTCATAATCTACACTCAAATATTAAATCTGCAAGAGTCATGATCACCATGGCTGAGGCGCTTTCAGAATCAGTCTGGATGCAGGCTGCCCAGCTGGAGCCATGCTAGCATGCTTCTACAGGAGCGAGACCTGAACCACATTAATCTGCTTAATTTCTTTTGTGAATCCTTCCTTGCTTGGAAACAAGAAGGCTTGAGCCTCCGCAAAGGCACTCAGAAACTTGCGTCCTTTAATTCTGTTAGGAAGGAAAGCCATCTGAAACCCTCAACCATTAGATAAACAAAAGTATAAGTAAATCAAGCCAATCTGACTTTCTTTTCCAAATGAATTGTATTGCCCTCATTGAAAGGAAAGAAGGAGTATGGAAAATGTGGGGTGGGAAACTGGAGTGTGAAACAACTCAACAGGGAATGAAGATGTTGCCAATGCTTTCATGACCCAGGAATTGAAACTTCTGCAGTCTCGCTGGAGAAAGGTAGTGGATTTGCTACAATTACAATTCCTCCACTTCAAAGCCCAGTTCCTATCTAGGACGACTTTTAGCTGCCCCAGCCCAGTAGGTTCGATGGCTATTGTCATATAATTCAAACCATTAGCTCTAGAGGGGATAGGGGAATCAGACTGAGGACCTGGAGTGAACTTCAAGATCTGGATGAGGAGCACACCAAGATATGTCTTTAGCCTAGATGCCAGAGAGATCAAGCTTGGTAGGAGTGACTTGGAGTTTAAGGCAAATTACAGTCTATGAAAAATAAGTTACCAGCTCTTTGCAACAGTAGCTTCGCTTGGACTTATTTTTCTCCCATGTCCAGACAGGGTCGACTATTGAATGAGGCTCTTTTATTTTGCATGGGGCAGGGGATTTGTGACCATGGTCCCCCCTTTTATTCCTCTCTCTATGGAAACCCAAATCATGGGGAGAAATATGCAAGGCTGAATAAAGAGAAGCCACAGAAAGGAGCGCTTGAGAGCGGCATCTGTTACACTTGGGAAGTTAGACTGACAGGAGAGGGCGAAGGAAACCTCTCTAGTAGATTAGTTAGAACAGCAAGAAGATTTGACTACATGTAGATATTTTCTTCAGAAAGCAAAATATGTCGTATTCAAGGGAAGTTGTTGTTGTTTTTTTTTTTTTTTACAACTGCCGTAGGGAGTGATTGCACCTAATGAGATAGGCATTATCCATATTCATAACAACAATTTTTAAATGAGAGAAGGAGGAAGAAGGGAGAGGATAGACGATGCAAGAGAAGAAGGGAGGGAAAGGAAGGAAAGAGAATGCTAAGAATTTCTGCTCCTAATATGCATCTATTTTGAAATTAAAAGCTAGAAAATAGGGCTATGAAAAATCTGTTCCTGGGTGTAGATGTATCTTCTTTGCTACCCTCCCCCTACCTCCAGACTTGGGACTAATGGTCTGAGCTACTTTTGCTTTACTAGCAAAACCGGGTTACCAAAGCAAAGCAAGGCCATTACTAAGAGTAATGTGTACTCCAAACACCCCTGCAAGTCAGAGCTAGAAAAGGACCCCCTTTCACCAAAAAGCTTTATCAGATAATTATCTTCACCTCCTTAACAGCCAGACTGAGATAAGCAATTCTTTCACCCAGCTGCTAGGTGGGGGTGGGGAACATACCAACAACATGGCAATAATCATGATCGGAGTTTTGCACACACAGTTTCTTCAACACATTTCCTCTGACCTTTCAGCTGACCCAATAAATATTAGCAAATGATCACCAAACAGGCAGTCTAATCGAGCACCGAAAACTTCTTTTTGTTTGATTTTTAATGAGTTCTTATTTCTTCAGACGCATAAGTTCAGGCACAAATTGGATTGCATTCTTGTAAAAAGGTAATGCATACATTCAGCAGTAAGAAACAGCCTACCTCATTCCTTCACAGAAAAGAGAAGAGATATAGAAACAGACACACAGAGATGGAGAAAAAGAGAGTGCCTGCGCACAAGAGTATAAGAGGGAGGGAGGGAAGGACAGAGGGTGGGAGGGAGGGAGGGAGGGAGAGACAGAGAGAGAGAGAGAGAGAGAGAGAGAGAGAGAGAGAGAGAGAGAGAGAGAGAGAGAGGCAGAGGGACTGAATCGATTCCTAGGTTAAAAGCAGATAAGTCCTTACAATAGGGCATCAGCAAATGAACCTACAATTTCAATGAGGGAGCAGGGTGAAGCAGGGATGGCGAAAGATCCTCTCTACCAATAATTACTAAGTGTTTATCTTTAAGAGCAAAAGAAAGATTTCAAACAGATGCCAGGTTTTCTCACCTAACAAACGCACGTTTACATTTACCAATCTCTGCTCCTATTACTTTGTGCTGTCATAAAAATAATCACCAATTTCACAGGAAATAGATGCTCCTTAGCTATATAAAGGAATGGCAGAATAAGCTCACCTTGCTTTTAAAATTTTTTCTCATTTGCTTGCATTTTCTTCAGATCTGTCTTCTTAGAGAAACTAATGCCTTAATGACTTTCTGGTAGCTGCAAGCCTTCTTTTATTTCAGCTAAATATATGAAAATGTATGCAAATTTAAATCAAGCTTAACCTAGGAGCTCTTGCAATATATTTAATGGAATTTCAAACCAATAAGGGAACTCTGATGCCGTCTTCTGTAAGAGCAAATATAATTACACAGCCAGGTTTCCTCCAAAATTACCGAACGAAAGGTCTTTTTTTTTTTAAACTTCTGATTTGGTGTGGGGTACCCTGTATTTACTGTCTTTTCCCAGCTCCTGTAATTCTAAAATCTTTGCATTTCCCCAACTCTGATTCCAAACAACACCTTTGCGTGGGGCTGTGGAGCACGTGGAGTGGACATGCTCTTCTCTAACTCGGAAAAGCCTGGGAGGGTATGCCTTTCCTCTAACCAAAATTTGAAAACAGTCGGGTCCCCCAGGCTGAAATCTGATTTAAGCTTTGAGGCAGCTGTGAAGGAATGGGAAAGCTGTGCAAGATGCTTAGCCACCAAGGTCTCTCTCCGGGTTTCTCCCAGTTTCTCTCTGTTCTTCTGTTTCTTTTCCCCACTACCCTATTCTTCTTCCCACTTCCCTCTCCCCTCTCCAGTCTTCTCTCTCCTGGTCTCTCTCTCTCTCTCTCTCTCTCTCTCCTCTCTCTCTCTCTCTCTCTCTCTCTCTCTCTCTCTCCTCTCTCTCTCTCTCTCTCTCTGATTTTCTAAATTTTCAAAGAACAGTAAAGGAAGCACATTTCTCAATATTTGCCTCTCACTGCCAAGGAATCAGGATGTAAAGGTTTCAAGGGGACAACACTGGGCGGGCATGGTGTTATGAACACTTTGCAGTCTGCGGGTTGGTTGGGAGTGGGGGAGTGGGTTTTCTGTGTGCCTACGCTGAGTGTGAAAGATGACTGCGGGCTTCAGCAAGCAGCGCCTCTTACATAAAATGAGAGACCTCAGATGGGAACCGACAGGGGAGCAAAGATAAAGCCAGGTTTCCAATTAACCAGCAAACTTCAAACTGACTTGAGTCTTCCATGGATCGCTTTAAGATTTACATTTGCAAACCCTCAACTCTTCATGCCCTGAATCAAAAATTTAAGAAAAAAAATAGAAATCTTTTTCCTAGATCGTTTTAGTTTCTTATAAACGAAAAAAATAAAATAAGCAAAATAAGTTGGAATAGCTTTTTATTGGATCATGAACTTTTTATTTTGGGTTCTGACCTAAGACATTACTTTGTTCAAAGTTTGTAGATGCGTTTTATTTTGCAGTCCCCGCCACACAGTAACCCAAAGCGCTAACTAAACCTGAAAAATTTTTATGCACTAAGATCAAAATGACATTTTAATTTTCTTTCTTTCTTTCTCTCTTTCTTTTAATTTAAATAAGTCAATGGGAGATCTGAAAACCAAAGTTAGCCTCCTCACTTCCACTCCACACAAATATATCCTTTCTCCATCACAAGCAACCACTTAGTCTCCAGGAGGGGGGAAAGGGTTAACTAAAAGAGCCGCTGCCACTCTGAGCTAGGCAGCCAATGGAGCCTAAAGATTGATTCACTTCCTGCTTGGGTCTCACTGAAACTCCGGAGCTTCGCCAGCCTAATTTGGAAAGCGAGCTCGGCCTCCCGCACCATCATTGGCTGAGTTTATGCCTGGCCAGGCCAAGTCGCACTGCGATTGGCCTTGGCGGGTGCCGGTAACCTGCGCTAGCGGCTTTGGTTCCCCCTCACCATAGATGTCAAAGGCTGAAGCTGCTCCCTTTGCCACATTATAACTAGTAGAGGATCTTCATCGACCATGGCCACAGCTGCCTCGAATCCCTACAGCATTCTCAGTTCCAGCTCCCTCGTCCATGCGGACTCTGCGGGAATGCAGCAGGGAAGTCCTTTCCGCAATCCTCAGAAACTTCTCCAAAGTGACTACTTGCAGGGAGTTCCTAGCAATGGGCATCCCCTCGGGCATCACTGGGTGACCAGTCTGAGCGACGGGGGCCCATGGTCCTCCACATTGGCCACCAGCCCCCTGGACCAGCCGGACGTGAAGCCAGGACGCGAAGATCTGCAATTGGGCGCAATCATCCATCACCGCTCGCCACACGTAGCCCACCACTCGCCCCACACTAACCATCCGAATGCCTGGGGAGCAAGTCCAGCTCCAAACTCGTCCATCACGTCTACCGGCCAACCTCTCAATGTGTATTCGCAGCCAGGCTTCACGGTGAGCGGTATGCTGGAGCATGGGGGACTCACTCCACCACCAGCCGCTGCCTCCACGCAGAGCCTGCATCCAGTGCTCCGGGAGCCTCCAGACCACGGTGAGCTGGGCTCACACCACTGCCAGGACCACTCGGATGAGGAGACTCCAACCTCTGATGAGTTGGAACAGTTCGCCAAACAATTCAAACAAAGAAGAATCAAGTTGGGTTTCACGCAAGCCGACGTGGGGCTGGCACTGGGCACACTGTATGGTAACGTGTTCTCGCAGACCACCATCTGCAGGTTCGAGGCCTTGCAACTGAGCTTCAAGAATATGTGCAAGCTGAAACCCCTGCTAAATAAGTGGCTGGAGGAGGCTGATTCATCCACAGGAAGCCCTACCAGCATTGACAAGATCGCCGCTCAGGGCCGCAAGCGCAAGAAGCGAACCTCCATCGAGGTGAGTGTCAAGGGCGTACTGGAAACGCATTTCCTCAAGTGTCCCAAGCCTGCAGCGCAGGAGATCTCCTCGCTGGCCGACAGCCTCCAGTTGGAGAAAGAAGTGGTGCGTGTCTGGTTCTGTAATAGAAGACAAAAAGAAAAAAGAATGACTCCGCCAGGGGATCAGCAGCCACACGAGGTTTATTCGCACACAGTGAAAACAGACGCGTCCTGCCACGATCTCTGACTGGAGAAAGCCCGGAGGTGGCCAGCAGCACTGGGAACAGTGCGGATCATTCTCACTCCCTTCCTTCCTTTCATCGCTACATTCTTTATTATTGCTATCTCTCTAGCTTGCTAGCTCTTTCTTTCTTTCTTTCACAGGGGTTTCTAACTTATGTTAAGAAAGGAAACACACACACACACACACACACACACACACACACACACACACACACACACACACATTCAGGCTTCTCAACTCTGAAACACAATTATATTAAGCAGTCCAGGCGGGGACCTCATAGTCCCTGCTGCCAGAGCAATTTCCCTCCAACCTTTTCTGCTGATCAATACATATTGTTTACTCTGAGTAAGATTTGTTTGGTTGCTCCTCTCTAAGAAGGGCAAGGAGCTGGGTAACAGGGGTGGGGGCGGGAGAGGGTGGGAAGACAGATGTGTGCCTATGAATAACCTTTCAGCGCCTTGGTTATAGCAGCTGTATTTCAGGTGAAATCTGTTTTACAATAGACTAGTTTTGCATTTTTTAAAACTTCTATAGCGTTTCTAAATGTCTGCGGTGTTTTACTACAAGCTGTACACAATATTTGTGAGATAATTTGTATCTAATCGACCACTCCACATTATTATTGCTATTATTATTATTTCTTCATTGAGCTGATGGGTTTTTAATTGCTTAAAAAGGGAGGGGAGGCTGGAAGGAGGAAAGAGAAAAATGCTCACCTCTTGCACTCCCACACTCTCGAATCTGCATGGAGAGGAGAGGATAAGATGGAGAAAGTGGATGTTTCTGTTTTTTTCCCGGGGACTGAGTGCCTATATGGGCAGAACAAGCAAACTGAACGGGTTTGCAAAGTAGCCTGAAGAAGAGAGGCTATTTCGCTGCTTTTTGCCCCCTTTTTCCCCCGCAACTGTGGAGTCTCTGAAGGCTTCCACAGCTTAAATCCCCGGTGCCCCAGAAGGATTCAGCAGTGGCGCGGGAAGAATGGGGTTTGAGGGACCAGAAGGATTCTGAATTCACCATCGTAAATGCCTGTGCCTGAAGTTTCCCACAGGCTGCCAGCATAGTCAGGTTGACAACCTGCCCTACACCATGGTACACTCTCCTAGATGAAAGACTTTGCCTTCACGAACGGTGGCTTTCTCCGGAGACCACGACCCAAAGACGCTGGCGACAGATTGGGCCAGCGCCTCCCAGTTCGCGGCTCGCTCTCAGGGTGAGAAACACACTCTCGGTAGGGTGGTGAGGGGGTGGGCTAACAGGCACCCTCTGCTTAGTGCGGAGCGACAATAAACTGATTGGCAAAAGTCATGGAGATTCTGGTCCGGCCATGTACCACCTCCTCCCTCTTGTATATACCAAGGTCTGAGTGAGCTCTTGGGGAGCCCATCTCAGCGTCTTTGACAAGCACAGCTGGTGGAAGCCCATGGCGAAGATTGAGCGAGCTAGGGAGCGCCTGGGCGACTGAGTTAATGCTTTTTTCTTTAAAAAAAAAAAATCAAAAATATGTGTGTATGTATTTCTTTGCGTGTGTGCGTGTGCGTGCAAACGTGTGTGTGTAGATAGCTGTGTGTATCGTATTACTGTATACAAAAAAAAAACTTAAAAAAAATCTCGCTAGGCTATGTAGAGATCCCAAAATTAAGCGGTTGCCGTGGCTTTATGGCTAGCTTTCTCTCATGTCCACAGGACAGGTTCACAGATGCACCTTGTCCCCAACAAGCACTCTGTGCTGGCCCAGCGAAGCGCCCATGCCCAGCCAGCCACGGCGGGCCTGACCTGAAGGGGATCTCAGCACGCCAGGCTGATCTCAGGATTCAGCCTGCAGGCGCAGCTGTGGTAGACAAAGCTTCAAACTACCTAAGGACCAGAAAACCCTGTTCCCCTTGTAGAAGAAGCACTAGTATGGGCTGCCTGGCCTCTGGTTGACCACACTGTGTCTCCTCTAGCCGCAGGTCGAAGAGCATACATTAATTCAAATCCCGAACCCTTTTGCTATTTTTTTTCTTTTTTCCTTTCCTTTCCCTTTCTTTTTCTCTCCCTTTCTTTTCTTTCTTTCTTTCTTTCTTTCTTTCTTTCTTTCTTTCTTTCTTTCTTTCTTTCTTCCTTCCTTCCTTCCTTCCTTCCTTCCTTCCTTCCTTCCTTCCTTCCTTCCTTTCTTTCTTTCTTTCTTTCTTTCTTTCTTTCTTCTTTTTCTTTCCTTCTTCTTCTTCTTCTTCTTCTTCTTCTTCTTCTTCTTCTTCTTCTTCTTCTTCTTCTCCTCCTCCTCCTCCTCCTCCTCCTCCTCCTCCTCCTCCTCCTTCTCCTTCTTCTCCTTCTCCTTCTCCTTCTTTTGTCAAGCCTCTGAATTCTCTTACATTTAGGTTTTAGTTCTGCGATTTTATTTTCCTAGTTAAATTCATGTTTCCCAAATGTTTGAAGGTGGTGGGTTGTTTGATTTTTTTTTCCTTTGCAGTTAAACGCTATGGTTCAAACCTGAGTTAACCCAAATATTTCTGCCGACTTTATAACTGTACAGTTTTGTATATTAAACGTTTTTGAAGTTATTAATTTAAAAAAAGATCATTTAGTTTATTCATTTAGTAACTGATGTATAATAAACGCTATTTTCATTAAGAGTTGCTTTTTCAACTATTTTATTCAAATTGCCTATTGCAGTTGCCAACAATTATTTATTTTCAATAAAT